CGGTCTCCACGTCCCCCAATGGGATTTGAACCCGCGATCTAAGGATCAACTCCTTATTCTGCGACCCTAGAGCAAGCGCTTCAACCAGTCAAATGATTCTATATGTACATCTATGAGGGTTTTTTTTTTTTTTTTTTTGAATAATTTGTTCTTTTGAAGTCATTTTAGTGCCTTGATCATGTTGACAATCGTAACTGGGATTCCACAATGTCTTAATTTTCATGTTGATTAATATCCTTTTTTGATGAATCAAAAATTTCTCAAAATTGTTGGAGTTTATGTAAAATGATTATTGCCATTCCATACTATGATAATGAATATTGTAAACTTTTGGTCCGTGCAGATACTGATTCATCTAATTCCGGCATGTTCGTCTCTCAATACTTGTCTTTTACTTTTTTCTATACATAATAATATTTTAGAATCTTTCTAGCTACATATAGCAATGTAATACACCTCTTTTTTTCATAAAGATTTCGATTCTCATGGAAACTAAGACATTTTGGAATCTCAGTTAAGATTGTCATTAGGATTTAAACACTGTATGACGTCTAAAGAACAAATTATTCAAAAACAACTCATAGATTTACATGTAGAAGCTTCTGCTGTATAAATAGGGATTACAAAAGTTTGCCTACCATCACTTACCACTATCCCTGATAGCTGAAGTATAGATAGACAGTCTTTTGATAAAAGAGCAAGAGGAATTCATTGTCTCTTTCTTAAAAATTAGAGGAGCTAGACATTGCAGAAGATCTCGCAATCTAAAATACAAGAAAGAAAAGTCAAAACAGATAAAACAGAGATAAAGATGAGGCTTTAGATCTATGCCAAGAAAATAAAGTTAACGAGAGACACGAAACAGATTTGTCTCTTTCAAGGTAATTGGTCTAAAATAACTGGATGGTACAAAATAAATCTCCCCACACATTAAATTAAGATTATGGAGCCATAATCATTAATCAATTTGGACTCTAGGGCCAGAGCAAAACGTGCTAAAAAGTGGCTGAATGTTTTTCAAAAACCTGCTTACTCCTAATCATCTCGAAGAAAAACTGAATAAATAGTATGGAAGAGCATGAATCCCTCTACCAAAAGTATGTTTTTCATGCTACCCAGCCCAGGGGTTTTTCGTAATGGTCAAATAGTAAAAATGTAGTTTATCGAAGCAAATCTTCTTTGCTCCTGCATACATGTGTCTTCAAAGGCAGAGGATAAAGATCTCAGGGTTTTTTTCATGATCAACAAAGACAGGGTCCTTCCTGTGGAAGGGGTAGGTCAAAATGGTCATATAGCGAGGTCAAAATGGTCATATAGTGAAATGTTCATAATCTTAAAAAAAATCCTTGTCCTGCACATCTTCAAGGAAAACTAAATGCTTGGTTATGAAGAGAATAAAGCTCTTGAGCAAAATTTAAAAAAAAATGTTTTTCATGACCCTCAGGATTTCTTTAAATGAAGTTACAGACGAAAATGAAGAATAGGCTAAATAACGATATCTAATAAATTTTATTTCAAACCGATAATAGTCTTAGTAACAGCAGTGCCTTTATTATTTTTTTTTTCACATTTTCATTATTGTTTTATTACATTCATCTTTAATATTCCCAATATTTATTGCTCCAACTTCTGATGTTGTGTATTTACCAAGACGTTATTATAACATCTTGGTATTTTAATGGTATGGTCAAAATTTAGAAAATTCAATTGAGTCGAAAGCGCGATGGGTTAAAATAACAATTTGTATATTATATTGCGAAAATAGATTTGTTGTCTTTTTATACAGGGATAACATTTTTCTTAGTATTCCTTTCTATGAATTCGGAATGCTTTTTGTCTTAAAATTTGTAAATGAGTGAAGCAACATAAAGATCTGAGGTTAAATAGGTCTTTAAATATAATGTTGTGTTCATGTCAGAACTTGAACGCATATATATCATTAAATATTTACAAAACCATAAATGTTAAATCATAGAGTTGAAATCAATCTTTTAATAAATATGATTTTACAAAGGTAAATTTGAAAGAGACATAATTATTATTTAGTCTTATTTTTGTAGAACGGCTTATTAAAAATTACTTTTTGCAATACGTTACAGAAGCAAAGATGTTTAAAAAGGACCATAAGGGGCAGGATTCTTAATCTCTGATACTATATGTATATGTATCTCGTAATGAGAAATTTTGTGAACATTTAAATTCTCATGAGATGTCACAATTTAGGACCATGTGTCATTTGAAAAAATGTCATACATGTATGTTACTTATCTATCATATGTTAAATGACTATAGGCCATAACGGGAAGGATGCATAATCTCTGATACTATATATATATATATATATATATATATATATATATATATATATATATATATATATATATATATATATATATATATATATATATATATATAATATATATATATATATATATATATATATATATATATATATATATATATATATATATATATATATATATATATATATATATAAAAGAAATAGATATCATGGAAATCTGTTCACAATCATATTTCTGCGAGTGGCCACATTTTAGGACCATCTATCATTATTTGAAACAACGTGATATACACATACATTTACATGTATATAGAATTGTATTGATCTTTTTTTTATCATACGTAATCATAACTCATAATCTTTAACAATTCTCAAAAAGGAAGAATATTTTGATATACTGTAAGCATTATTGAACAAAAGTTGTTTAGAATGATTCCCTAAACAAAATTCAATGTAATTAATTTCCGCAAAAGGGAACAATGAAAACTTGAATATTTATTTTTTACATATCTCAGAAACGGAAAGGAATCTCTGAAAAAATGTTGAACAAAAAGCGTTTAAAATCATTACTGTTTTCATATTACATAGTGAAAGTGTGGTTGACCATTAAAATCAGAGGTTTAAAGGGGCCGAAAGCCTGCAATCTTTAGCTCCTTAACTTTCAATATTCTGTTACACATTACTGAAGGAAAAATGTTCCTCTAACCGATAATGATACACGCAGCTATGTTAAGGCTTCCCGAAACTTTAAAATGCGCTCAAAACATAATATGTCATTGAGATGTCGGTTTTGGTTTTCATTTATAAGTATTGAACTTTAGTACTTCCAATTTATATAGAGGGTTTCCACGGCTATATATTAACATATTTGTTATGATATCACATTGCTTTGTTGATCACGTGACGGTCATTTATAATTTTTTGAAGTGTTTCATATAAATCGCTTCGGCGCAGCTGACTAACATAATAATTATTAACATTTTGTTATATAAATAAACTCATCGTATCCTTGTGTATCCGAAATGTGCTTGGGAAAAGTCATAGTATTACTTGGGTACAAAATATTTCCTGTGAAATTCAACTTACCTACAAATTTGAGGGTATTTACCACACAATATCGTAATCTGTATTAAAACAAAGCCAACATACATTTTCCCCAAGCAAGATTCAGTTAGACAACAACCTCTTCTTACAGATTTCCACAAAAATTCCCAGATTAATCCTTATTAACCACCTGCGCCAGACTCTTTTATACACACAAAATAAATTCTACTTCCAACCACGGGTATAAAACAGAGTACATTTCAAAAGTATATTTTTCATAAGCATTTTGAACATGTTGAATTTCAATCAAGGGTAGGTAAACGGTGTATTCATACAATTTTCGGACATATAAGACTTTAAAAACCTTTAACAACCCGTGAATTTTGCAATAGCTATCTAGCATTTTACATGCAGTTTGAAATAAAGTGTAAAGTTCATGACACTCTCCCCGTCATAACACTTCAAGTTTGCAGTGACTTGACGTCATTTTCCATTATGACGTCATATTTTGGTAGTTCAGAGATGTGAAGGCACAGAGTGCACTGTGATATTCTTCGGGAAGCCTTAACCTACCTGCGCATATATTTTGATCATACCTTAGAAAGTTGTGGGCTTTGGGGGGCTAAAATGCTAAATCTCTTTTTCTTTATATCTCAAAATGTAAAATATTTTGGAATGTGTATTAAATAAAAGATGTTCATAATAATGTTATGGGGAAAATGGAATAAAATCGGAGGAGGCACATTCGGGAAACAATTTTAATCAATGTTCGTCATCCCTCTGCTCACTTGTATGAAATCCTTCCTTAGCGTTTAAGGATAGATGATACAAACAAAAAATGGATGCCTGAATTGGTATATATATATTTGACCTATTTTGGTTGTAAATGATTAGAATAATAAATTTCTAAAATATTAAGAGATTGTAAACTTTCTACGTACGATGCTCAAAATTCCACCTTCCTGCAACCATTCTTATTAATCTATACAAAGTTTTGTCACTTTAAAGCCAATTATCATGAAATTTTAAAAGAAAAATTAAAATCTCTGCGGTTAGACTTATTCAATTTACTTATAGAAAGATGGCTTAAGTTTATATTTTCATGATTTTTGATAAAAAAAATTGTTTGTATCATCTGTCCTTAATATGACTATCCAAAAGAAATCTTAATTATAATTGAAGTGCACACACTTTCAAGATACCTCACGGGGAAAAACTTGACATAAATGACCAGTCAAGTTGACATTTTATAAAGGAATGATAGTCTTTTATGTCAGCTATAGCTGTCTCTCTTATAGGAATTCTAATTAACCTTAATGAATATCTTAATACCACAGTCAACATCATACCTCATCTCATCTAAAATCGGAAGAAAAACCTACTCGTTGCTCGCAACAAGATCTCAATCTAGATATTATAAATTATTATTAATATTATCATCATTATTTTTAATTTTCTTCACATGGCCTTCAGGGATAGGGAGTGACTGCAATACGAAATAATAGTTTTAAATACATGTGTAGTTATAGGTTTAGCCACCATACGGGATTAAAGTTTTATAATGGAATATATGAAGGAAAATACTTTCTTCACCACACTGATGTAGTGTTCTATCAACTTAAAAGAGAATATTAAAGTTTAAAAATCTCTTTACCTCCTTTGCTCAGTTTCCATGCATTCAACAGGCTGGTGAAGATAAAAATGGTGCAGGGTCTAGTCGTCATCGAGTGTTCTTATTTATAAATAATAAACACTCTGTAGTATCAACTATGAAGAAGATTAAAATGTTAACAATTTTGTTTAAATAATTATATTGTCAGAAATTATAAACTTAAGAAAATTAAAAAACAAAACTACTCAGCTGGATATACATTGCATTACCGAAAATTTTTGAAAATTGGTTGGTTATTTAGTGACATTAAAGCCCCTTTTTTGAACTTAGAAACTTGAAAGATATTTACATTATCCTTTTAACCCTGGCGATCGATCGCTCTGTGATCGGAAGGTATTGTGTTCGAATCACGGCCGCGACTGACTAAAAAAAAAAATAGGTAGCAACTGTTCCTTCGACAAGCGCTCTGTACTTTGAAGTGAAAGTTGCGGGCCTTAAAAACTAGGCTCCGTGTTACAATAGCACAATAAAGAACTCTCACTGCTCACTGGTTCTGAGTGCCGAGTATAGGTCTAAATTTGAAGCCCTTCACCGGTATATGGTGACGTCTCTATATGAGTGAAAAATTCTCGAACGGGACGTAAAACAACACAAAAAATCAATCAATTAACCTTTGCCTCCAATATATGAAAATAAAAATAAACATTAAATGATTTTTGGCGTGCATGACATGACTTTTTATTACATGTACAGTTAAATATGTAATCCACAAATGCATGCGCCCATTACAATTATATGGCAGCATAAAGTTAGACGAGACAGCAATAGAAATAACATCTGGATCTAAGAAACCTAGAAAAAACAGTACCCCTGGAGACGGCATTCTATGCAAAAAATGCCATCTCCATTACAAGCATAGAAAGTCACAAGGTAACAATCGGCGCTGACACTGACATCCCTTGTGAATAACTCCTGGTCATGACGCTGAAATAATAAATTAAGATTGCAGAAACAACCACTTTTCAAAGTAATATAACTATAAGTATTTAATAAATTTTATGTCTTAAGAGGCTGTTCGTGCTCCTTGATAAATGGTTGATGAAAAAAAGGAAGAATTGATTGCGCGTACTAACCAAATAAAAATCATGGTTGCTTGTGTTCAATAAAATGACAAAAGGGAACATGAGAGGGAAATTACATTTGACTTACTAATAAGAGTAACTGTCCTTTGCCCATGAGAAAAACAATTATACACAAGCAATTACTGCACTTAATAACCCGGTTTATACTTATGAGATAAACCCTATTACAATTACCGAAAACATTTTCTTCTCTAAAAATATTTAAGTAATGACTGTAATAGCTATCCAAGTTATACTGGTATAACCTGGGTCGGGGCAGTTTACTCTTTAGAAACCGCGAAGCGGTTTATAAAAAAGCGTAAACTGTTCCAACCCAGGTTATACCAGTATAACTTGGGTAGCTATTAAAGTCAATCCTTATAATTTAATTTCCCATCATTAAGTGTAAAAAATAAAACAATTTCTCCTTCAGAAATGCGTTTAAATTGTTCGTATTTTAAATGTAACGTCAAGCGGATTGATACGTTTTTGACGAGTCATTATGACGTAGGCAACCCAGGTTATACGCTATATTCTAATTTTTTTTATCCAATCAAATGACGCTTTATAACAAAATTAAATTATAGCAAAATCTTTCCTTAAAGCAATATGGCCTGCATTTTTGAGAATTTTATGTTGCTGTTAAAATGTGTTATTATTTTGAATTTGTATTTAATGAAATATGGAGATAGCGAACAGTATTCAAGCAACTTAAACCTTTTTGATCAATAAGACAGAAATAAGGTATCAAATTGTTTTAGAACAAAGGATTCTGTATATGCATATTATTACAATGTATATAGGAAATCAATATTGTACGGGACGACAATAATGTGATTTTGCATCTATCAAAGCTTATAAATAATTCTCCGATCGCAAAAATGAACAACAGAGGTTTATAAACGTTCTTTTTTGTCATTGAAATAGTTAATTACAATTTTGGAACAAAAAATTCTGACATGAAAGTTGCAGCTCATATTGCTTTAAGTAAAAAAATTCAAATATTTAGGTTTAAAATTGATTCTGATAGACATTCATTGTTCCCTCCTTTCAAATGATATACATGTATAACATGTTATTGTTTATAACTCGTTTTAGCGTCCAAATTTTGAAGAAAAAAACACACACACAACTTGTTATCCTGATGACGCTGCGTTTTAATATAGGAAGACGTCATTTACGGTACTTGTACATAATTGGCGTATTCAAAATTTAGCGCAGTCTCTGCGTATGGAGTTGTTTGCGTAATCATGAATTAGCGCTTTATATATCCGTGCCGTATATGGTATTTATAAATGGTTTCTTAGCAGTATTCATGAATTAACGCATTGTTGTCTGCGCCAAAGGCGCTAAAATATGAAGCCCACTTATTTAAGTACACATACAGTATTTTGTTCTCAAACGTTGACTGTTTTGTTCTTACTGCAAAAGATATATCGGCTCGGACAGGTACATATAAACAACATTCGCGGATGAAAAAAAAATCATCAAAAATATTTATCGCTATGATATCAGTTCAGGATTTGGATCAATGATCCTTGTTTTCGGCACTTAACTCAGAATGTCGGTAGATGATTTCCTTAAATGGAGGAAGAAAGCAGGTTAATCATTAAGCCCCCCCTCCCCCGACGACTTCACTTGATCTGATGAAAGGTAATCGAACAACATGGATGGTTTATCAATGGCAAGGGACTTGCGAATATAAAGATATTTTTCTTGACCCCTGGGTCAGGGATTCTTTTGTTAATACGGGGCTCTTTCGATTATATAGTGAAAATTCATTAATTCTTTTTAAATCTTCTCTGCTCCTGGGTATTATTTAAACAAACTTAGTGCATGGTTATCATAAGCAAGGATGCCTCTTCCACAATTGTGAAATTCGTGGCTAGGGGTTCTGATGAAAAGGGGGGGGTCTATTGATTATATAGTGAAAAAGTCTTATTTTTTGAAAATATTCTTTGCTGCTCCTGATTATAAAACAAAGAAATTAAGTGTATAGCTTTGATGAGCGAGAGTGCTCCTACTAGAATTGTAAGTTTCATGCCCCCTGGGTCAGATGCCCTGGTGTAAAGGTGGGGCTCTATTGATAATATTATGAAAATGCATTAATTCTATTTTTTGGTGTTAAGCAGATACAAAAAGTGCATAGTTATGATGAGCAAGGGAAATTCCTACATTTTTTAAAAAACTAGTGGCCACAGGGTGAGGGGTTCTGGTGTTTTTCGGGGGAGAGGGGCTTCTATTGATAATATTGTGAAAATGTGTGAATTCTTTGAAAAATCTTCAACTAAGTGCAGAGTTATAATGATGAGCGTAACTCTTCCAAAGTAATATTTTCCCGCCTACGATAAAATCAATTAGAAATTATAGATGTACTACCTATTTTACGCGTGAAATGCTCATGAAAGAAATGTGGTTTCGAAGTATCTATTGAACTATTACAGTTGTGTATCAAATGTTGAAAGCATTGAAGGATTTTTATTTGTGATTGAATAAAAATTAGCTGTTGTAAATAAAATGGATTCTAAATTAACAATAGTCCAAGTGCTCGCGATCTTATTTTCCAGTATCATTTATTTGTAGTTTCATCGGTTGACCTAGTGAAATAGCATAGAAAAAATGAAAATTTTTAACATGAAAATTTTTAAATGTTTTAAGGGATATTTAAATAACTTTTTTTTAATCACATTTTTTTACGACCTCGTCAATTTTTTATACTTTCATCCCCTTCCTAAACCTCATATTATTAACTACTCTTCAAGTAAGAGTTAATTGAGGGTCGAAATAAAATATAGGTATTCAGAGATAACAGAGCTCACCTCAACGAAAGCCCCACGTTTAGCTAATAATGTAGTAGTGTACATCCAAGATGCAACATTAATACAATTTTGATCTGAAGGGGCTTGCAGTAACTTGGGAATGAACAAATCCAAAAACTTTAAACTAGTTACTAGTTGTAAATTGTAATTCAAATCCAGCATCTGAAGCAAGTTAGATGCATCATCCCATGCAAGTTGGTTCACGAAATGTGGCAGACGTTAATCTCGATGTTGAAAGTTAGTTTTGTTATCATTTTATAGCAATGACCTCTAAATAACATTAGACAAGTCTTTTGGATATTCGCGAAAAAATTAGCGTTTTACAGTTTACACAGGAGTACTGTATAAAGAACTATCAGTATATGAGCCGTCTTAGGTCACCTAAAACTCAGGTGACTTATTTCTATCTGTTCCGTCCGTCGTCGTGCGATGTGTGTCGTCTGATAACATTTGAACATTTTCAGCTTCTTCTCTGGAACCACTGAACCAGTCCAACCAATTTTAGCATAGAGCATATATGAGTAAAATGGAACAACGTTTTCTAATGGTCCCTGTCTCGAATGGGGCCTAAGTATTTAGATCCGATGTTACTCATACGGAAAATATGAGGTTCCTTCTGAAAGATTGAGTTTTTTTTAATTCTATCAGAGAATTCAATGAAAAATGTGTTCACATGTAATTTCATAGCATCCATTATTTCCAGTCCTTTGATTTTAGATTTTTTTGGTAAAAAGTTGAAATTTTTCGAGTAAAAATCCATTGCTTATATTGATTTTTTTTTATATTCAACAGAAAAATGTGAACTAAAGTTTATAATATGAAATAATCTACATAAGCTGATAACCTTTGTTTTCGTTGATTAGGTTTTCTCTGCAAATATCGTACAAATGAAGTGAAAAGTTTTTTTACATGTCATAACCACCTTTAACCAAGTTCATAATCTGTTAGTCACTTTCTATTTTTATAAGAAGTCTACATGTAAATTTTGGTGATGGTTAAAGGTGGTTATGAAATGTGGAGGAGTTGCTTAACACATTCACCCTCTTGAGTTTTCCCATTACCGTAATGCTAATACGGACCTATAGTACATTACTTTGTGACCTTATATCATAACAAATACTACAGCATCATTAACCAATCAACATTTATCATTTAATTGGATTATTAGCCTACTGATTCATGTAGTTTTTGAAGGGAAAAATACTACTTGAAAAT